GCCTAGGTTGGCTATAAACACAATCCTCCTACCTCTGCCTCCTGAGTACCTGGGATTAGAGGCATGTGCAACCATGCCCACACACTACTTTTTTTTTTTTAATTTTTAACATCTCTGAAAAAAGAATTGAGCAGAATTTTACAGTAGGTGGTATCTTAAAATCGTGTAAGCCAGATAGCCATTGTGACGTAGTTATCATTGCCTGCACACATGGAAACTGGTCATGACAAATTCACTACTCGTTGTTAGTACTACAGGTGATAAACTTTTGTTACTGTTTAAAGTGGGTTTTAAAAGATGGTACTATGATTCAATATTGAAATGAAAAGATACTCCAAATGCAGAAAAATCTTTCTAACATATCTGTGGGAAATAAAATTTGGTATCAGTGAACAAAAAATATGCAGTTGGAGAATGACTTCAGCTTGATGTTTTCTTGCAAAGCAGCAACCTCCTTTGCTACTCATTTTGTGCTCACCCCTCTAGCCTCCACCCTCCACTATTTAATCAGAAAAGGGCATTTTAAACCATTCCAAGATCTGTGCATTGAAGTGTGTGAAGCACTGATTAGCAGAACACTTGTTCTTGGGGCATAAAATAATAGCTCATGTTACAAGTGATTATCCTTTAGACTTGATCAAATACCATATTAGCTTTTTGGCTTTTTAAAGGTATTTTGTATATGTATAAGCAAAAGTGTTTATCACTTCTTTTACACAGAAGTCAGCATGCATATGTTATGTACTGTTTCTCTACTTACACTCTTTAAACTTTACACGTGTAGTTTGGAATCTTCTCCACATCAGTGTGTAAATTGCATGTGTTAGGCTTTTATAGATAAGGGCAAACTTTTTCAAAGTGTTCATACTGATTACATTCCTACCAGGTATGAATTCTTTTGTGGTGGAAAAAGGTTAATGTTTACTATTCTGTTGGGGTTTTTTTTTTTGTTTTCATTTTTGCCATTATTGTGGTTAGTAGAATCATTTTATGGTTTAATTTGTCCTAGACCTCTATGTAGTAAAGTTTATAAATGTTTAAGAATCTTTGCTTATATCAAGATCATGAAGAAAACTACATGCACTTTAAAAATATTTTTAAATGATTAAATAGTTTAACTGTGACTCATGCCTGTAATCTAGCTACACAGAAGATAGAGATCAGAAGGATTGCAGTTTGAAGCTAGTCTGAGAAAATAGTTCAAGAGACCCTATCTTTTTTTTTTTTATTCATATGTGCATACAATGTTTGGGTCATTTCTCCCCTCTCCCCTCACCCACTCCTTACCCCCCCCAGCCCCTCCTTCTCCCTGCCACACCCTTGCTACCCAGCAGAAACTATTTTTCCCTTATCTCTAATTTTGTTGTAGAGAGAGTATAAGCAATAATAGGAAGGACCAAGGGTTTTTGCTAGTTGAGATAGGGATAGCTATACAGGGAGTTGACTCACATTGATTTCCTGTGCATGTGTGTTACCTTCTAGGTTAATTCTTCTTGATCTAACCTTTTCTCTAGTTCCTGGTCCCCTTCTACTATTGGCCTCACTTGCTTTAAAGTATCTGCTTTAGTTTTTCTGCGTTGAGGGCAACAAATGCTATCTGGTTTTTTAGGTGTCTTACCTATCCTCATACCTCCCTTTTGTGCTCTTGCTTTTTTCATGTGCTCAAAGTCCAATCCCCTTTGTGTTTGCCCTTGATCTAATGTCCGCATATGAGGGAGAACATAAGATTTTTGGTCTTTTGGGCCAGGCTAATCTCACTCAGAATGATGTTCTCCAATTCCATCCATTTACCAGCGAATGATAACATTTCATTCTTCTTCGTGGCTTCGTAAAATTCCATTGTGTATAAGAACCACATTTTCTTAATCCATTCCTCAGTAGTGTGGCATCTTGGCTGTTTCTATAACTTGGCTATTGTGAATAGTGCTGCAATAAACGTGGATATGCAGGTGCCTCTGGAGTAACCTGAGTCACATTCTTTTGGGTATATCCCCAAGAGTGGTATTGCTGGATCATATGGTAGATCAATGTTTAGCTTTTTAAGTAACCTCCAAATTTTTTTCCAGAGTGGTTGTACTAGTTTACTTTCCCACCAACAGTGTAAGAGGGTTCCTTTTTCCCCGCATCCTCGACAACACCTGTTGTTAGTGGTGTTGCTAATGATGGCTATTCTAACAGGGGTGAGGTGGAATCTTAGTGTGGTTTTAATTTACATTTCCTTTATTGCTAGAGATGGTGAGCATTTTTTCATGTGTTTTTTGGCCATTTGAATTTCTTCTTTTGAGAAATTTCTGCTTAGTTCATTTGCCCATTTCTTCATTGGCTCATTAATTTGGGGAGAATTTAATTTTTTAAGTTCCTTATCAGTCCTTTGTCTGATGTGTAGCTGGCAAATATTTTCTCCCACTCTGTGGGTGTTTTCTTCAGTTTAGAGACCATTTCTTTTGTTGAGCAGAAGCTTTTTAGTTTTATGAAGTCCCATTTATCTCTGCTATGTCTTAGTTGCTGTGCTGCTGGGATTCCATTGAGAAAGTTCTTACCTATACCTACTAACTCCAGAGTATTTCCTACTCTTTCCTGTATCAACTTTAGAGTTTTGGGTCTGATATTAAGATCCTTGATCCATCTTGAGTTAATCTTGGTATAGGGTGATATACATGGATCTAGTTTCAGTTTTTTGCAGACTGCTAACCAGTTTTCCCAGCAGTTTTTGTTGAAGAGGCTGCTATTTCTCCATCGTATATTTTTAGCACCTTTGTCAAAGACAAGTTGGTTATAGTTGTGTGGCTTCCATATCTGGGTCCTCTATTCTGTTCCACTGATCTTCATGTCTGTTTTTGTGCCAGTACCATGCTGTTTTTATCATTATTGCTTTGTAATATAGTTTGAAGTCAGGTATCGTGATACCTCCAGCATTGTTCTTTTGACTGAGTATTGCCTTGGCTATTTGTGGCCTCTTGTGTTTCCATACAAATTTAACAGTAGATTTTTCAATGTCTTTAATGAATGTCATTGGAATTTTGATGGGAATTGCATTAAACGTGTAGGTTACTTTTGGGAGTATAGACATTTTTACTATGTTGATTCTACCAATCCATGAGCATTGCAGATCTCTCCACTTTCTGTAGTCTTCCTCAGTCTCTTTCTTCAGAAATTTATAGTGTTCCTTGTAGAGGTCGTTCACATCCTTTGTTAGGTTTACACCTAGGTATTTGATTTTTTTTGAGGCTTTTGTAAGTGGAATTGTTTTCATATATTCTTTCTCAGTTTGTTCATTATTAGTGTATAGAAATGCTAATGATTTTTCTATGTTGATTTTATATCCTGCTACCTTGCTATTGCTTTTGATGGTGTCTAGGAGCTTTTGAGTAGAGTTTTTTGGAAAACACTCTACACAAAGAAGGGCTGGCAAGTTACAGAGTGCTTACCTAACAAGTGTGAAGTCTGAGTTAAACCCCTGTGCCACCAAAATAAATATATTTGAAATGGACTAAAAAGCACAAAAATTATATAACAAATACACATGATCTGTATTTAGCATTTGTTTCAGATTGGTTTGAGAAATAGATAACACAAGGCTGGAGGTGTGGCTCAAGCAGTAGAACACCTGCCTAGCAAGCACAAAAAAAGAAAAAATAGATAATATAAATATATCTACATACATAATGTACTCACAGATAGACATATGTGAACAAATGATAGGTCTGATGCCCTAGCTACTTCCTGTCTTTTCCATAATGACAGGATGGCCACCATTTTTAGAGACTGTCATTCTCATGTATTTTATAACTTTCCCACATAGAAACACATACAGCACATGGCACAATTGTTTTAAACCATGTGTATGTATGGCTTGCTTGTTTTAGCTAAACGTGTAGCCCTGAGATTTATTGTTTACTCATTTTAACCTATATATGGTATTCAGTAATATGAATAAATAATGGCACATTTGTGCATTCATCTTTTGTTGTCTCCATAGTTTTAAAATATGCCATTATTTATCTGACCATTTTTCTAGTTTTGGAAATTTTGAATTTGTGTGTTTGTTTGAGACATAGTCTTGCTATGTAGCCCTGGTTGGCTTAGAACTCATGATCCTCCTGAATGTTAGGATTACAGAGGTGCACCACCACATCCACCTTTGTGTCCATTTTTTACTGTAAGAAAATCTTTTCTCTAGAGAAGAGTATTACTTAGTTGTTAGGACCGTAGGTCCTGGAATCAGATTGGCTAGGTTCCTGTTCGGCTTTCGTCTTCTACTAGTTTGGTGATCTTGGGCTTTCTTTTAGCCTCAGTTTTCTAATCTATTAAATGGGGCCAGTGATAGTGTACTCTTTGGGGGTAATTCATGTGAACACTTTAGAAAGATACCTATGAATGTTAACTATAATAATTTAATTTCTGGGAATATAATTTTTAGAACAAAATGAGCATTTTTAAGGCTGTTGTTACATATTGGTGTTACTGGGGAATGAATCCAAGGCTTCCCACATGCTAGACAAGTGCTCTACCACTGAGCTGCACCCACAACCCCTAAATTATAATGGTATAGTTATCCCCATACAATGACAGATGAGTCCTCATTTTATGTCTCTCTGACCAGTGCTGTCATATAAGTAGAGGTGACACTCTTGGGAATAATTTTATATTGACTTGGGAAATAGCTTGATTTCAACTTTTTTTTTTTTTTTGGCAGTATGGGGTTTGAACTGAAGGCCTCACACTTGCTAGGCAAGTGCTCTGCCACTTGAACACTACAACAGCCCTCAACTTCATTAAAGATGTAGATGTATATAAAGTAGCTACAGGATGGGGTTTAGCTCATTGGTAGAGTACTTGTCTAGTGTGTGCCAACACCCTTGGTTCTGTCTCCAGCACCGCAAAAAATAAGTTTCAGAGAGCAAACCAGATGCATTATTATTTGCTTCTTATAATTGCTATGGTTATATTTGACTGTTTGACCTAATAACCACCTCTTTTTACATTCTTTTCTTTTTCAGGGCAAAGAGCAGGAGCATACATTTGTCTTTAGACTGGATCATCCAAAAGCATGCAAACATTTATGGAAATGTGCTGTGGAGCACCATGCCTTCTTCCGCCTCCGAGGACCTGTCCAGAAGAGTTCTCATCGCTCAGGATTTATTCGGCTAGGATCACGGTTTAGATATAGGTTATTTTTTATTTACTTACTTACTTTGTGCTACTGGGTTTGAATTCAGGGCTTCATGCTTGCTAGGCAGACACTCTACTGCTTGAGCCACACCTCCAACCCTAGATATAGGTTAATTTTAATGGCTGCTTTCTATATCCTCCATTCTTGCATACAGGGCAAAAAAGCTAGGCCAATTTCTTGTTTTATGGATATGGAAATTAAGATGTGGAAAATAAAGTACTTTTCCAAAGTCTGGCCAAAAGAAAAAGTGGTGTCATTGGCTATAATTTTTTGAGTTGATGGAAAATCATAGTATTACTGATTCTAAAATCCCACTTGACATTTTATGTAATGACCAACCTCAGTTTAAATATATTTAACAAGAGTTCTGTAGATTCTCCACCCAACAGCTAGAAACCATATAGAAAAATGTGTCCTGCGCTGAATGGGACATTTATTTGACTATTTGTCATCCTTTATAAACCGGAAGCCGGAAGTTCTGTTATTCTTACAGACTTCTGTTTGTCATGAGTTAGAAATGTTTCAGATTACATTACTTTACAGTAGATTTTTAGTTTTGAGTTTTCAGCATACCATGGGAATCAGTTAAATAAGGAATGAATAGTACAAATAATGTCACAAGTCAGCCATGGGGAGTTCATGTAAGAGGGCTTTTATTCTACCTGTTAAAATTGGGGAGCCATTTTCTTAGCAGAATTTAGATGGAAAACAAATAAACAGGATAACAGTTTTTAAAAATGTTTCTGAAAAGCATAGCAGAATTAGAAAAAAGTAACTAGAAATCTTACTTTTTAATTACACACTTTGCATTGTGATGTGTGGATAGGGAGTTACATAAGAGCATGAACATTCTGAGTTTATTTAATATGTTTTTAGGTGACATGCATATTTAAGAAAAGAACCAGTATAGTTAATCGTTACATATTTCACAAAACCCTAGAATAAAAGAATGATGTGATGAAGAGGATGTCAAGACTATTAGTAGTAGTTCCTTTAGGATGAAGTTCAGGATGCTTTTTTAAGGGAGAATCTGAATGTAGAATTTTTGATACTTACATGTATCTGGTTGCCATAGACCTCAGATTCTCTCGTCTTCATTGCTATTCTTCATTTATTTTAGTGGGAAGACTGAGTATCAGACCACAAAAACCAATAAAGCAAGAAGGTCAACATCCTTTGAAAGAAGGCCCAGCAAACGATACTCTCGAAGAACTCTACAAATGAAAGGTGAAGTGCAACTCTTGTTTCAAAGGACTGCTCTTCCTTGACAAGTACTCATATGTTGGCATTGTTGACTTGAAAGAAAGTTACCTGAATCTCCTTAGGACTGTTCCAAGTAACTAAGGTGTTCTGATATAATAAATTTCATAAGATGTGCAGGGAAAAATTGCCTATATTATCAGCTGAGATTAAACTGAATATGAATTCTAATTCAGATGACATTCTCAGATTGTGGTCAGTTTTTGTTTGCTCTATTTTAGTGTTTCAGTAGAGCAGTATTTTCTTTCCATTTTTGACCTACGGGTCTCATTCATAATAAAACATCTCTTACTCCAAATAGAAATTTTAAATTTGAAATGAAAAAAATATTATCATGTGATGAATAAATTTTAAGTAAAAATCATTTCAAGCTGTATTATGTTACTAAATTCTATTAGATAGTTTTAAAACGTAATCATTAATATCTATATCATATATAGATATTTCCAAATTCATGTTACTTGTTATTTGAAGTACTTCAGTTGTATAATAGAAAGCCTCGTTTCCTTGACAAAAAGATAAAACTTGTGTTTAGTTTCGAATCTGAATTTGTATTAAAATGCAGATTGAATTTAAGTCTGTTCAACGCCAGGGTCGTCATCAGTTTTCCAAAAGCAGCTGTTATGAGCTAATGTTTTGACAATATTAATTTTTTAAAAACTGTTTATAGTCATTTTTGGTGTGACTAAAAATTAAATAATATGGCTATAATTGAAACCATTTTCATTTTGTGATTGATTAAAGCTCTAAGTTACCTCTTTTTTTCCACTGACAATGATTCAAAACCTTACTCCAGGAGGCATACATACAGTTCTGTTTTTGTGTGTGTGTGTTACTGGGGTTTGAACTCAGGACCTTGCTTCCTAGGGAAGCACTTTTATCACTTGAACTGTGCCCCCAGCTCTATTTGTTTTAGTTTTATTTTTCTATCTTATGATTTTGCCTGGGGCCAGCCTCAGGCTGAGATCCTCCTACCTATATCCCCTAAGCTGGGATTACAGATATGCATCACCATGCCTAGCTTGTTTTTTTGAGATAGGGTCTTGCTATCATTTTTTTTTTTTTGCCCAGTCCTAACCTCAAGCTTCCATCCTCCTATCTCTATCTCCTGAGTACTTGGGTTACAGTTGCATGCCATCATTCCTGGTCTGTTATAATTCTGAAAAAAGAAGAGACAGATACTTACTGCTTTATTTGAAAAGTAAATAATTGCCAATAACGGAGTTTACTGATGTAACCCCTGAAACACTTGTAAAATGAAGATTTTTAAATCTATAGTTTGGAATCCTGCTTTTTATAAATCAATTAGTTTTATGAATGAACAGTGAAGCAATTTATCACGTAGGACAAGACTAATGAGATGTTCTTTCTTCCTCTAGCAAGTACCACAAAACCTGAGGAACTCAGGTGAGTAATGTCTTGCAATTTAAGAATATTTTTGCAATTTATGTAGATATATAATTTATATATAAAATCTAAATTTTATTATATTTAATATATAAAATATATGTAGATATATAACTTATGTAGATACACAGAAAGATTGTTTTATAGTTACTATCACGAACTAAATATTTATTGAAGACCTGTCGAAGTGTGAAGTTGTCCCTAAGCATTGGAAAAATAGTAGAAAATAAACACATAATGCTAAATAAAATTGACATTAAGAAAATAAGGCATTTTTGGACTAGTGGAGTAGCTCAAGTGATAGAATGCCTGCCTAGCAAGTGGAAGGTTGAGTTCAAACCTTGGTGCCACCAAAAAACAAGAAAAAGAAAAAAAGGCAGTTTAAAGAAATAAAAAGTAGTATGGGAGTGAAAATGCTATTCATGAGAATGACATTTGTTGTTGGCTGAGAATATAAAGGTGAATAAATTATTCTTGAAAGGAATTTAAAAAGCAAATGTTGATTTGAAAATAAGCAATTTAACTTGTTGGGTAAATCCCACATATAATCCTTTCTTACCTGTTGCTGGATTTGGGTTGCTAGTATTTTGTTGATCTCTTGTCTATATTCATCAAAGATGTTAGTCTATAGTTTTCTTAAATGTTTGTCTGGTTTTGGTATCAGAGTGGCACTGGCTTCACAGAATAAATTGACAGTCCCTTCTCCTCTTTTTTTTTCTTTTTCCTTCGGTATTGGACTTTGAACTCAAGACCTTGCACTTATTAAGTAGACACTGTACACTTGAGCCACACCTCCAGCCCCTCTTCTGTTTTTTAAAATGAATTTGTAAAAAAAAAAAAAAAAATTAGTATTATTCCTGAAGTCTATGAGTAGAATTCACAATTAAAGCCATGTGGCCTGGATTTTCTGTTACTGTGAAGTTTTCAGATTCTTATTTCAGTCTTCTATTATAGATATCAAATTTTCTTTGTCATATTGAGTTAATTTGGGAATTTATCTTTCTCAAATTTGCCCGTTTATTTAAGTTATCTAATTTGGCACATAGTTATTATTCTGTTTTCCTTTCTATTTCTGTGAATCAGTAGTGCTGTCTTATTACTCCTTTCTAATTTTAGTTATTTGAGTTTCTCTCTTTTCTTAGTCAGTGTGCTAAAGGTTTGTCAGTTTTGTTAGCCTTTTCAAATAGACCCACTCTTTGATTTTATTAATTTTTTGTGTGTGTGTCATGAACCAAACAAAGCTCCTTTTATGTGTGTTAGGTTTATTTTGCTTTTGGTGAAGGGATGAAGGGAGTAAGACAGGGTTTTAAGATGTAGTCCTCTCAGTCCTGCATTTAAATGCTAAGTCTTACAAGCATGTGCCACCACTCCCAGCTTGTTTGTTCTTTTTCTATTATTTCAAGGTTGAAGATTGGGTTGTTTGAGAGCTTTATTTTGTAACATAATATTTACAGCTGTAAATTTCCTTCTAAGCACTACTTAATTACATTCCTTAAATTTTGATATGCTATGTTTGAATTCTTCATTCATCCTGAATTATTTTCTAATCTGTCCTAATCATTTCTGTTTTGACCTTTTGGTTACTTAGGAGTATGTTGCTTAATTTCCACACATTTGTGAATATCTTAAATTTTCTTTTATTTTCTCCTAATTTTTTCCATAATGGTTATAAAATATACTTTGTATTACTTCAATTCCTTTGAATCTATTGAGACTTGCTTCTAATGGCCCCATTAATTTTTATAATATATATTGCAATGTATTCTCTTACACTTTTCAAAAACTGTTAATATTAGAGTCTCTGGAATGCCTATTAAAAAATCAGATTCAGAACTGGTTGTGATGACATATAGCTGTAATCCCAGCACTTGGGAGGCTTAGGCAGGAGGATCATGAGTTTGAGGTGAGCCTGGAATCTACAGTGAGATCCTGTCTCAAAAAAAAAAAGAAGAAGAAAAAGGAAAAAATCAGATTCAGACCATGCACACAAATCTAGTTTTTTTCCACATTCATTTATAGTAGATCCTCTTGAAAGAAGTTGGTTGTTTTTACGTACTGAGTATGGCCAGCCTCACCTTGAAATTTTCCTGGTTTTCTTCACTTGGAAGTTATTAAACCAGGCTGTGATTAGTGATTCACATTGCAAAAGCACTCTTGCTTTTGTGGACTAGGATCTCTCTCAAGTTTCTTTAGGTGTTAGTAGGCTGTTAAAACCAAATACTTGAATTGAGTGAGTGGGGAAGTGAGTGATTCTATTGTAACAACTTAATTAGGTAAAAAAATGTTTGATTATGTAATGGATCATGTCTTGCTTTCTTAAAGAGAGGCTAGGACAGAATATTAGAGCTTAAAGTAAAGAAGCCAGCTAGCAAAGATAGTAGAAATGTAGATAAAATCTTGAAGCAATGATATGATATTGAAAAATTTATTAGACTTATTTACAAAATAAAAGTTCTTTCAGATGTTCTGAAATGCACATTTCTAATCAAAAAGTGAGTATTAATATCTATTAATATCCTAGAATTAAAGTTTAACTTTAATGGCTGTTACTGTGTATTCATTAGTTATATCTTTGGCTCTGGAAAACAATAGAAAAAGATAATTAAGCTCTGATAACCTTTTTAGTTTTTCTGAGAAGAATGCTGGAAGTGGTGGTACATACCTGTAATCCCAGGTGCTAGGGAGGCGGTGGCAGAAGGATTGGGAATTTGAGGCCATCCCAGGCAAAGTTAGCAAGACCCTATCTCAAAAATAAAAACAAAAGGGATGGAGGCATAGCTTACAAGGCCTTGGATTCAATTTATAGTATCAAAGACGGAAAAAAAAAAAAAAAGGGGTGGTAGGGGGCTAGAAATGAAGGGGAATTCCCAACTCTCCTTAAGGTTATTGAGCACCACTCAGTAGGGCTTGAGAGAACCTGGGCTTGGGCTGATACGCATGCACTTTCACTCTTGCCCCTCACAGTTCTATCTGCATGAGTGGTTTTGCTACAGTGAACCAGGGAAAACAATACTTTTTGAAAGCAGTTTGATTAAAAAGTTTCTCCACCTTGTACTCTGCAGTTTTGTAAAATGCTTACTTAAATAACAGTTGACTAATGTCAAGTCATTTTCCTTGTACTATTTGTCTTCTATTTTGACTCCCATGTGAGTTTTGACTAATACATAGTATATTAAGAAGAGGCAAACAGATGACATTTAAAGAGGATAATTGAGTGGGTAGAGGCATGGCTCAAGTGGTAGAAACCCCATACCACCAAAATAAATAAATAAATAAATAAAAATTCAGTCCCAATATTTTGAACAGAACAAGTTGTTTGGCAAAGACCATTAAGATAGTGTTAGTGACAAAAGCATAAGTCCCATCATCCATTCCATTACTTTTGCTAATTAGTATAATTCTGTACAAATTATATGAAACTTAAAATATATAACCTACTTCAAATATATAATCTAAAAACAGAATTAATAGTAAAAACTATCTTTTATTAGATCACTTAGGTTATATTTCGAGTTTTAAGAGTTAAGCTATTAATGTGTTTTTCCAAGTTCTAGAAGAGGAGGAGGGAGGTGGAAAGCTCCAAACGTAAAGAAATGATTAGAGGAAGGAAATGATGGTTACTTTGTTTGATCAGGCAGCTTGTATGTGTTGAAATCCTGTGTAGAAATCAGATTTTTTTTTTTCCTTTCAAAATGCTGTGAATGGAACCCAGGATTTGGTATATACAAGTGCTTTTATGACTAGGCTATACCCCCAAACCTACATGTGTTGAAATATCACAATGTGCCCTATTAATAGGTGCAATTATTATATGTTAATAAAATAAATTAGAAAAAAACAGATTAATCATTCACTTAATATAGTTATGCTGATGTGGTGATTAGGTAAGCATTTTTTAAAAGGTTTATTGGTACTGGGATTTGAACTCAAGGCTTTGTGCTTGCTAGGCAGGTGCTGTACTGTTTGAGCCTTGCCTCCAGCACTTTTTGCTCTGATTATTTTGGAGAGAGGGACTGGCTTTTTGTCTAGGCTGACCTGAACTGCGATGCTCCATTTTACGATTTCTGCCATCACTAGGGATGGACAATCACATGCCACCATGCCCAACATTTTTCCATTGGGATGGGGTCTTGCCAGCTTTTTTGCTCGGGCTAACCTGGAACTATGATCCTCCCAGCCTCACCTCCTTGTGTAGCTAGGGATGACAGGTACACACCACTGTGCCCAGCTATTGGTTGAGATGGGAATCTCCCTAACTTTTTGCCCAAGCTAGCATGTAACTACTATCCTCCTAATCTCAGCCTTCCAAGTAGCTGGGATTGTATGTGTGAGCCACCTGCGCCTGAGTTTTTTTTATTTTTGTTGGTTGGTTTTATTTGTCACTTTGTTTGTGCTTTGCATTTAATACTAATTTAATCTTCCTAAAAGCCAGAAACATTTTTCTTCCTCATTTTGATGTAATATCTCATCTTTGAGTTCTTATTTTATTGTTTGTTCTGTTTTTGCTGGTTTACAGTTTGTTTTTATTTATTTTGATTATAGGTTGAGAAGGTGTTTTTGGTTTTTGAAATTTTGGGGAGATAGGGGAAGGAGTACAGCCTAAACTAGAAATGTAAAAATATATTCATAAGACATCACATAGAAATTTCTAACCTTAAGTTTGTACTAAGAGCTTTAGAATTATAAAATGCCAATCTGTTGCTAACACTGAGAAATCTAGAGTGGGTTGGGAATATGCAAAGGGAGTGGCAGGTAAGTTCGAGTGGGTATTTGTGCTGGATGTTTCGAATTTAAAGAATTTTTGTGCTATTTGTTTTGCTGTCTTTGTTTAATGAATAAATAAGATTAGCAGTAAATGTTTAAAGCACAACTAAAGTATTTAGTATGTATACTAAAGTATACATAACATATACGCTTGGAAACATCAGATGAGCAGCCTATAGAAAAGCAAATGTTGACTGTAGGAGTAAATTTTTCTGGCGTCTGACGTTCTTAGTTTTAAGTACCACCAATAGATTTTTTCTTCATTTGAAACAAAACATTGATATCTTGGATTCTCCTTTCATTAGTGTACATATGATCTTACAGAGTAAGTATATTAAAAGATTTTTTTCCCAATTACAGTGTTCACCATAATGTTCCAACCCAGAGTAATGATTCACAACAGGTAAGACAGTATTAAGCTTCTAGACTACTGGAACACTGTATGTAGTTAATTTTAGTAATCTGTACTGTTACTAGTTGGATTTTCATAGTGGTGTAACCATGTGCAAGTTTTGTGCATTTTTTTTATCCTTAAGTGCCTCAGTAATGTCTTAACTCCCTGCTATTTTTCTCTCAAGATTTTGCAAATAACAGATGATCTGTAAAACATTTTCTGTCTGTGTATCCAAGAAAATAAGCAAAATATTAATGTTCAGCAAAGTTATTTATTTCTAAGGTGATATATAAGATTTAAACATTTGTTACATCACATTTTTCATTATATAGATAGTATTCCATTTTAGTATTCTATTTGTTGGTAAATATTTAGTATTTCTGTTTATTTTTATTCTATTTGGTCTTTAAGCATAATAGATGAGTTTTATTTTTGTTCAAAGGATTGGGGTGTGCGATCTCCTGTGCCTGTGATTCCTTCCACATCCTCTGGTCCTGTGCTGGTGGAGATAGAGAATCTTCCACAGAGTTCTGGAACAGACCAATATAACAGGAAATGGTTTGTTAACTCCTTAAACCAAAATATTGTTTGCTTAATTGTAAATTTTAAACTATAAACATAGATTACTTTACATATGATTGAAAACAAATTATTCATATTTGTGAACTGAAAAGATGCATACTGAACATTCATAGGAATGAGGAAAATAAGGTATGTGGATGAAGAAGGGAGTACAGTTGTCTAAATGTACAATATGAGGCAGCTGTCTTTGTTTTAATTTGCTGGGAGTGGTGAGTAGTTCATTGTTAACAAGGACTACTCACTAGTCAGTAGAACCCTTTCCCAGACTCATAGGAAAATATGTTTGTTACATGTTATTTTATAATACGATATTAGTATTTTCTTCATTGAAACTGAATATAAGCCAAAAGGGAAATATGATTAAAGTTTAATAATATAAAGCACGAAATATTCTGTTTTTGGAGATTGAGAGATAATCTGATGAGAATAAGGATATTCCATTTATTTAGGCTTCCAGAGAGTTTTTCTAGATTAATGGTAAATACACAAATATGGATACTTTGTGTCTTGTTGGCGTTTAATCAGTTGGGTTCAACCTTTTCTAGATAACTGGTTTGGGAAGGGCTCCTTGGGAATTATTTGATTGAGTTGTCATGTTGGATGTATCTGTTCAATTTTACGTGTTTTTATGAAACGAACTTTGATAATTCATAGGTTTTTTTTTCTCTCTCTTTTTCTCTTGCTCTTAGTTTGTTTAATACCTGAAATCTAATGCGTTTCTGTGGTGATCTCAAGGTTTTGGTCAGCTTTCTGTTCAGCCAGTTCTTCCTTCCTGGTGGTGGGTCAGCAGTAGTTGGTGATTATTTTCAGTCTTTGCTGTGTAATTTTTTTTCATTGTTATTGTTGGCATAACTAACTACAGGATCCTTTGCTTTTGATGGTTGGGCATATTTCTAACTCAATTCCAAATGACTTGCGCTTCAGATCCAAGGGGATCCCCCCTCTGCATTTTGTCCTTCCTTTTTAAAAATTTTATTTTTCCTTTGAAGTGTGGTGAGAGTACTTTGTGTGTTGTATATGTGGTCACACGCTTAAAGTGTAACAAATGAGGCCTCTAAATGTCAAATTTTAATCTTTGTTTAAGCCATTAAAAAGGTTTCTTTAGTTTCTTATTGAACACACACAACTCCAGTAAGCATCTGTGCTTCATCTCCTTTAGTGTTACCCTGTCCTGTTGGCATGGAGAAAGAGCACCCAGACTTCAACTGTAAAGGAACTATCTTAACATGTGCTTGTCTTTTATATTAGTGTAGAATGAGAATCTGCTTAGTTTGTATTCATTCTGTGCAATGACATTAGTCTTTATTGAGTCTTTCGACTTTAATGAGTACATGTTTAAAGCTGCTTAATTTGATGTCTTGGGCACTACCCAGTTCCTTTAATGTAGCCTTCAGAGAGTATTGAATTTGATTTGAATTTCAAGAAAAACTTGGAGCTGTGTGTCCTCCTTCCTTTATGTCGTTGTGCTGAGACCTCCTTTGCTGAAATGAAGTGAAGTGTGATCCTTAAATCCTGATGAGCCTCAGTGTCTGTCAGCATGGCATGGAACTGGCATAGAGCTGACATGTCTTGGGGCTAATGGATTCTTCATCTTTAACTTAAACGCATTTTACATCTCATTCTTTGTTTCTGCATGCTTTAATTTAAAAGAACATAAAACAGTCCTCCTTTAGAAAGTGTTGTTAATAAAATTTGAAAATGTTCCCTAGGTTTGAGCAGCTGGGCAGAATAATGGAACATTTATTTTTGGCAGACAATTTTTAACCAATTTAATTCAAACCTACTCTCTGTTCAACTTTTTCTTGCTGGTATCTTTTAAATGACACCATTAGTTAGGTGAATGATTTTATATGTCAGCAACTTAGAATTTATCACCATTTGAGAAAAAAATTCATGTAAATTAGATACATAAATTATTTATAAACAGTAACAAGCTGGGCATAGTGGTGCATGTTTATAGTCCCAGCTGCTTAGGAGCCTGAAGCAAAAGGATCTGAGCCAACAATTTGAGGCCAGCCTGTATAATACAGTGAGACCTTGACTCAAAAAACAAAACAAAAAAACCCTGCTGTAATCCCAGTACTAGGGAGGCAGAGGCAGGAGGATCATGAGTTTGAGGCCAGCCTTGGGTACACAAGAAATCTGTCCAAAAAAGGACAAAGAAATAAAAATTTAGCAAATTTTGCATCTGTATGCGAGAAAATAAGCCTAATTTAATTTTGCAAATATTTAGAGACCCTAAGTTGAGGGTCACAAATTGTGTGAGTTGAGTCTGATAAACAAGCTGTATTTCAGTTGAAACAAAGATGATTTTATTGTAAAGAAGCCTTCCACATTTGTTTCCCTTTGGGAAAAGGTTAAAGTTTGATGTTTTGGGCCAGGCATGGTGTTGTATACCTATAATCCTAGTAGCTACTTGGGAGGGAGAACAGAAGGATCACAGTTTGAGACCTTTTCCAGGCACAAAGTTAGTGAAACCCCATCTCAACAAGCCTGTAATTCCAGCTATGTGAGAGGCATAGGTAGAGGATTAAAGTCTGAGGCCAACAAAAAAGCTTGAGACCTTACCTGAAAAATCATTAAAGCCAAAAAGGGCTTGGGGTGGGGCGGGGGCATGGCTCAAACAGTAGAGTGCCTGCCTAGCAAGTGTGAGGTGTTGAATTCAAAACCCCAGTATACCAAATAAGTAAATAGAAATGGATATTTTGGTTGTGTTAGGAAGGTCATACTGTACTTAATCTATTTTTTAGACATTTTTTGCATTTGGGGTGACTTTTTTCTTTGTAGTTATTTGAATTGTGTGCTGCCCATTTTGCTATATCACAAAATTTTGGTTTACTGAACATTGGCAAGTATTTCCTTTCTACTGGAGGACTCTGATCACTTCTAACCAGGAATTGCATGTATACATGTTCCACTCTTCCAGTTCTGTTAGCACTGTAATAAGTCATCTAATGTGCTTTCTTAAATGGCTTCTTGGAGGGGCTTATAATCTTATATTATCTGTACCTGTTGAGTTTCATTTTGAGGTCCTGTGACTTATTACAAGGTACAGTGATTATTGCTAATTAGAAACAGTGATGTAAAATTGGTTGGCCTTTGAGGGCAAAAGATTTTTATTTTTAATGCTCTTCAGAATATTGTTTCCTGGGTTTTAGTTTTTTGGTTTTTTTTTTTTTAAATCGCTTGATTTGGGAGTTAGTTTTCACAATTGCCCCTTCTAAGTATGCTTTTGTCCTTAGGTAGAATTCTTTCAAACATTTAAATTAAATAGATTATGAATATTTTTCCTGAAGTAGATTATGTATTTTTTCATTTCTTATTAGTCACTCAAACTATATTTTTGCTTTTGATTTTCATAGCATCATCAGGCACAGATACAGGGTGTCTTGCTCTCTGTGACATTTCTTCACTAATTAATTCACTTAACTGATGCTGATTTATGCTTATTTCCATATCTGCCTTTCCCATTACATGTAACTTTATGGATTCCCCACTTTGTTGCTTTTGAATGTTGTCATTGCATGGAGTAGATGTGGGTAAATACTCATAGCAGTGGTGCATGCTAGTCACATTGCCTTTCTCCTTTATTACCTCTTACACATCCATTTTCTTCTATTCCTATTGACTAACTGTGCTCCCCTCCCACTCCCCAACCATCCAGGCTCTCTGCTGCCAGTGACTGCTGTCAACGTGGTGGAAACCAGTGGAACACAAGGGCCTTGCCCCCATCCCAGGCTGTACATAGAAACTACACTGACTTTGTACATGAGCACAATGTGAAGAATGCAGGAGTCCATCATGATGTTCATTTTCCTGGCCATGCAGCCATGACTGAGATATAAGTTATTAAGCCTGTTAAGACTTGGGACTCTGTCATCCAAGTTGATGGTCTATGTTTTCTGATGTTTATAAAGGATTGATCACATTAGGAGTACTTGGGAGAATTTATTTGATACTGAGTCACACTAGTTGTATAGTGCTGTTTGTGATTGACTTCCTCGGTGGAAGGGAAGAGGATTTGAAGAAGCTGTATGCCATCACTGACAATGACAGAAGTTGCCCTGTTGAAAGAGTGTGTATACCACTGTGACTTTGGAAAGAGTGTGTATACCGATACGATTTTAGCATGTTAATATATCACTCAGAAAAAGGCTTGTGTTTATGACAAGCTACCAGTTGTCACCCCACTGCATGCCATCCAAATAGATTAAGGTTTAAAGAATGAGTCACTAAAAGCACACTCAAAAGGAAGCATGTTCAGTCATGATGTATCAGCCCTTTGTAATATTATAATAGTGCTATTCTCATATACTATCTTAATTTCTAAAGTGATCCATGCTTTAATTTAACCTGAAGTGCCATGGTTTTAATTAATAAATTTTAATACATTTTTGCTTTTTAATAAGCACAAATATTTTATGTTACCTAGAAAAGTCACATTAATAGTATGATTCATATAGAGAGATAAATCTGAATGGTTACTTTAAGTGGTTAACCAATGGCTAACGGAATGGTTGCATTACTTCGGAATGGGATACCAAATGGAAAATGTGCTTACTTTGTCTTTTCACATTAATCTCTTTTCTCTTTCATCACATCTGCCTGACAAATTACCCAGGTTTGCAGTAGCCTCATAATCTGGCCTTGTTATACAACTGTTAAAATAAAATTGTGAAGTCAAACCATATTATTTTTAGATGGATTGGATGTGTTACTACTTTCGGTTCTTTTTGATCTTTGGGTGTAGTTTTTCAAACTCTTTGGTTTAATTCATAGAAGTAATTTAGCTGGAAAAGTACATTTCTGATGACATGGGCATTGATTCAAGGGAAGCATTTCCTTTTTTCAAATTTTAGAAAAATTTCCAAACTTTTAAACTATGTAAATAGAAATTTGAGGATATTTTTCATTCTAAAAATTCATAATGCTTCAAGATAAGAAGCTTCATTGTAAACATCCTAACCTGTTTAACCTACCTGCTTACCTCAGGAGTAGGTTTTATCCCACAAATCCTTTCTGGTAGACAGTGATAAAGAGGGCTTTAACATGGACTGTTGGTTGCAAACATAATACAACTTGTTAGCAGAAGACATAAGTAAGAATTAAATAATATTTAGGACATGAAATTTATAGGCAAGTTTCAGTGTGAGTTTCATTATTGCATGTAAGGGGATGGATACTCAAAGCATTATGTGGAATATCGTAAATTTGAACAGATCCATGTCTTAAATAGCCAAGCTTTTGACCTTTCAGCCCATCATTATTTAGTAGGCTTAAAAATGGTGCTAATGTATGACCTTATGGTTGTTTTGGACTTTACACAGCTCAGATTATAATTGCTCAGTAATACAAATCATGATTTTTTTATTTAAAGTTTTTGGATTGTAACATTTTAAGCACAAGCTCTGGTTAGTGCCATTCAAGAGAAGATTTCATGGAAATGAATATGGTAAAAACTCTACCATTTCTATGATAGAAACCAAAGAGGCATAATGATTAACAAAGTGTTCCTGGTCTTTTAGAAAGTCCCAAGACTTGATTTCACTCACATTAACTTTAATCTTGGAATCGGAGGGCAGACACTCACACAACGAATGCTTCATATATATCTTAGCAGAATTTCAATTTCAGATGTTTGGAAGGATTGTATCTGAAGAGTATGATCTTCAGTTTATATTTAAAGTGATCATTTCTATACTTAGAATTTGAGATAATCAATATTGTTATATTTAAGTGATAGAAGAATCACATCATGATTTTTCTTTCTTTGAAATCCTTGTTATAATTAATTTGTAAATTCCTCATGAGAGAAACAAGGTTTGAGGGGAGTAGAGTAGATAAAGGGCTAAGACTGGATGGTAGTAGAATAGTCTTATTTTGTAGATGTTTCCATGCTTCGGGATTTCATATCAATACAGGTTGAGCATCCATAATCCAAAATTGTGAAATCTGAAATACTCCAAAATCTGAGTTTTTGATGGCTGCCATAATGCCACAAGTGGGAAATTTTATACCTCATCTCATATGATATGGGTTGCAGTCAAAAGGCAGGTAAACTAAACATATTGTATAAAATTACCTTGAGACCATGTGTAGAAGGTATATATGACATGTTTGGACTGGGGTCACCTCGCATATTTACTTCATTATGTATATGCAGATATTCCAAAATCCAAAAATATTTGAAACCCAAAACACATGGCCTCAGGTATTTTATACAAGGTATACTCAACATATATTGTGAATATTTGTTCTTGCTACTGATATTTTCAAAATGGCTATGCATGTTATTTCCAGAACCATGAAGAATTTGCAAGTAACTGAACCTAAATTAAATTATCCCTAATATATTTCTGTTCTGCATTTTTATTATGCCCAAAGAGTCAGTGATCATAAAGTCTAAAGTGAAAAGCCAGGCATCCCTATAATCCCAGCTATTTGGGAGGCTGAGAGAGGAAGATCATTTGAGGCCAGCCTGGGCAAGATAGCAAGACCCCCTATCTGGGGGGAAAAAAAAATCCTAGACTAGAAAATAACGCCTTCCAAAAGCACTCTACTGGGTCACCATCTTATTCATCAAAGGGAATTGCCAGCACAGAACTCCCTGATCATATGCTTATTTACTAATTAGTGCTTTGGCTAATTTTATTTCACATAATTTAATATCTTAAATTAGGCTGGTTATGTTTAAACTATTCTTACAGATAGGGGTGGAAACACAGCAAAGCTAGTCACCTTCACAGTTTAACACATGAAAATAAATAAGTTCTTAAGATCATTCTTTTTATGGCTAAAAGCATTTTAAAGGCATTTAACTATCTCTGAGTATGATTTCATCTTTATGATATTAACAGGGTAATCATAGATACACTTTTAAAGAATTTACAGGGAAAAACAGGTACTTGAAAAGCAGCTGATACACATATTTAATATTGTTAAATCATCAGCTTAATTCAAATCTTTTTTTTTAAAGGTAGGTTTATATAAAATGTTGTGGAACCAAAAATCATTATTTATAACCCTTGGGTGGACCTTTATTGTTAAACTTGTCCAGGATGTAAAAGGTACTGTCTCTCTCTCTCATCTTCCCTCCCTGTCCTCTCCCTGTTCCCCCTTCCCACCCACCCCTATCCTGCTCTAGTGATGGAGTTTGAACCCAAAACCTTGCACGTGCTAGGCAAGCACTCTACCACTGAGCCACATCTCTAGCCCTGCTTTGTCTCATTTACCAGATTTTTACATATTTACTTGGTTGATGTGCTAATAATTTTGATTTGTTAGCCTGGCTAGGTCATTTCTGTGTGCCCTGATGTCATGATTTCATCTTTGCATTTTGCCAAAACAGTAAAATAGATGAGGAAGATTGAGAGTGGAGAGTCTGGTCTTTTAGTTTTAGGAGAAAAGAGTTGTAGAGACAGCTGACTTCACAGGCAATGAATAATCCTTCAGCTTTAGTCTCTTAAACCCGTTTGTATTCACAGATGTGAACTCAAAGGGTTGAGAGGTGGCTCATCCATGTTAGTAGAGCATGTGCTGAGATGGTAGAAGCAGTAGTTAAGTTTGAGCCATGGTACTTCAACTCTTTTGATTGGCAAAATACTTCATTTCTAAATCATAGTTTGTTTTCAAAGGTCATTATTTTGTGTGTGTTAGGTATTGAATATTGGGTTTGAAAATAATACCTACTTGCATTAATTTGGTATTAAGGCTTGCTATAAGGATTTGCAAAAATAAAGTGTTAGTGCCATAACACTCTTCTCCATTACATACTTCCTTCTTATACTTTAATATGAATTATACTATAGCACCAATTATTTATTGCTTCCAGAATTACTGTGAATGCTTGCATGTGAAATGCTTTTAAGTAAAGGGCTTGAATTTGAAATCTGGTATTACAGAAATTAGTGTGTGAATCATGTTACTTTCAGGGAAACTATGTTTACTTCATTTTAATTTCATTAATTCTTGTGCATTGCTAATGTAGCAATAAACTAGCCATTTGGGCTAATGGGGAGGTACACATTAGCCTTTTTAGAGAATTAGAAGAGAAAAAATTTTGAAAAAATTTTGAAAGGAAAATTTTTCAATGATACCTTTTACTTTTATATTGAAGAAAAACAAGTGTTCCTGTTCTTTCTGAGGGAATTGTTCTCACGGTTTTTTGGTTTGGGTTTTTTTATTGATCACTTAAGCTTCTGTGTTCCTTACAAGCAACTGTGGGCTCAGTTCTAGGTGATGGTGCTTGAGTGAGCTTTTTACGGTGTGTTCCTGACAGCTGGCCAGCTTTGTATTTATACTGGCAGGGAAAAGAGAGATCTGCTTCAGAGATCTCTGAGTACATTCTCCAAGGACTGTGACCAAAGACTTCCTGAATACTGTAACCTTTACCTCCTCCTCTTACAAACAGGTTCAACAGCTGTAGTTCTTAGATTTTGTTGTTGAAGAGAGTTTCGTTTGTTTTGTTTTGAGCTGATTTTAATAAAGAATTGAGATTACCAGTATCTAGTTAGGATTTGTACCAGATTGCACATTCTTTAATAAAGCTCCTGTCTACAGACATACCTAATCATTGTTAACAAATGCACATATTATAAATTATTTAGGTAAAGGAAAATAATTAAAAATAAGAGATGATAATAGGTGATTGTACCTTGATTTATCTTGTAAAACTAGTATAGTAGTATTGAGAGAAATTATGGAAAACATCCCAGAATGTCAATTATCACTATGATATGTGATATTTCACAGAAGAGTTTCTAGGAACAAAGTTTTGTTTGTAGCCTAGCTATTAGTTTCAGAGATTACACATTCAATTTTAATCTCTCTAGGACTTTGAAGACCTGGGTTTAACAAATCATATTCTTTTTGGGACCACCATCAACAAAACCTTTGGAAATCTTTAAACATCTAGGAAGATTTGGGTACTTACAAGTATCCAGGTTATCACTTTGGACTTTCACAATCATGTTGGAACAGTAACAGTTAAAAGTGTTCAAACCCCAGTGCCACCAAAAAAAAAAAAAAAATATATATATATATATATATATAAAACAGATGAAATTAAAAAATTAAAATTAAAAATTGGCACAATACCACTAACTGTGGCCCTTATTCAGGTTTCACTTGTCTTTTCACAAATATTCCATGCTGGATCTGGTCCAAAGTCTCATGTTGTCTGTAGTCCACTTCAGTCTGTGATTCTTAGTCATTCCATGTGTTTTAACGACATTTTGAAGAGTCCTGATCAGATATCATGTAGAATGTCCCTCAATTTGGGTTTGTGTGGTGGTTTCATGTGATTAGATTTAAGCCATTCATATGTTTAGATTAACGATTTGGGGAAAATGTGAAGATGAGCAGTTTTCCAAATTTTCATACATGCATAAACCATTAGGCAAGGGCTGGCTAGGTGGCTCAAGTGGTAGAGCACCTGCCTAGCAAGCCCAAGGCCCTGAGTTTAACCAGCAGTACCATCCCCCCCCCCCAAAAAAAAAAAACCTTTAGGCAAGCAAGGTCTAGAAGACTAGAAAGGGTTCAAGTTAAAAAGGTTTAATCACAGAGAACCTCATATGCCAGGGAAGAATGGATTTTAGTGCAAGCACGATGGCTAGCCTATAGTAGGGTTTTTAAAATTTTCCATTCGCTTAAATTAATATAAAAGGGGTTTTATTGTGATATTTAA